ATACACAAAAAATCAAAGCGAGAAGTCATTGAACCTTTGGAAATGTGAGGGATTACAATGTCCAAATGGGTGAAAGTAACTTACAAGAACTATTCAAGGATGGATGGAAGGGAAAGAAGCTAATGTAGAATATATTGTATTTTCAAGTTGCTTTTAAAATTAGGTTACATCTAGTTATACACAAGAAAACGTAAGATGTTAAAATGAATTTGGGAACCAGTTGCTAAATAAAGTGTTTCACTTATGCTTAAATAAAACATGCTTACAAATTTGCACACTAAACATCGGTCTCCTTGAAAAAAAAGAACCATTGGCAAAACTGTTTAGCTTTGCTGAGGTTTGAAAAGGGATGTTGTGTGGTAAACAGCTGTGTGCAGTTTGTCTTTTCTGAGTATTGGAGAGCAAGTTTCCTCCTGCTGCCTGTTTAGTTGTGAGTTGCTTGGCTGCATGCAACACTTCAAAGGCCACTTCCTTCTACTGCTGGAGGCCAGAACAGGAAACAGCATTTGCCAAGTTCTTTTTTCTCAACACTATACTGAGAGGGACAGAACCTCCGCGATCGTAAATGCTGTATCGACCATCCAAATCCTGGTTTAAGCTCATTTACAGACACTCAGGTAACAGCACAAATACAAGAAGCCATAAACATGTGCACACATGTCACTTAAAGCTATTTCCAGTTTGTTGTGTGGCACATCACGTGGGAGTACAAAGAACCGCTTCTGTCTGTAAAAACTGCTTGTGTTGAGGAGCTGCACCAAACTAGCTTTGAGGATAATTAGCTGGGGTAATCAGAACAGACTCGTGCTGTGCTTTTAGGAGACTTTTATTAGTGTTGGAGGGAAATATGTTAACTTTTTTGAGTATTATTTTAAAGGTTGAGATTTAAAAAAAAAAAATTAGAGTACAATTTAACACAGGATGAGTGAAAGATAAGTAGCTAATGTAAAACAATCATAACTGTATGGTTGTATTTATTTTACTGCTGACATGCAGTTTATAAAGTTTCGAATCACACAGTCTGGAAGCATGTTGGAATGATGGTGCTTCTTGTTGCTGGAGTGAAAACTGCTGTGTTGCCAGGACTAGATTATTCATAAATGCAGATGTTGTACAACCTGGAATTGTACAATCACACCAGTGAGTTAGTGGTTACTAATTCATATAAGGCAAACAAATGTAAATCAACAAATAAAGTCAACAGCATACAGTATTTTAAAACATGTTTTTGCCTCATATTGTTGGACTTCATTGAACTGTCATTAGATGGATCCCACAGCTTATTTGGTTTATTTGGTTTTGAAGGCAGCAAACTTATTTATTATTAATGTTATTTCTCTAACAAATAAAGGGCTTTCTGTGTGTTGCACTGCTCACTGAAACGTGTACTCCTGCTGATGCTGGCTTTTTTTGTTACAGCAGGTAGAGAAATCATTTTATTCGTAAATAAAGGAATCTCTGTATGTGTGTTCATCTTTCTTTCATCCTAGTCTGGCGATCTAAGTGAGTGAGTTTGAAGTCATTTAGGTAAGCAGTGGTCTTTTGGGGCGGTCTTTTACACATAAACCTCCAGCAGAACTAGGCTCAGGAAACGGCAGCCATGTGCCATTAAAAGCCAGTAAAACTATTTGCTTGGTTTAATCAACAGTTATCAAAAATTAATAATTGATTTAATCTTTATATTGCAACTCAGCTCCAGTGGTGCAGCTAGTCAACGTGCAGTGTTTCTAAGGCAGTAATGTATGAAGAAATGCTAAGGTTGAGGATTCAAGCCTCACTTGGACTCTTCAGTATGGAAATTATGTTACATGACCATAAATAGCAATTTGATGAATTTGATGTGTTAGTCTCACTACTTAATTTAAGTAAACATTCATAAAAATCATTCAAAATCTTCCATTTTCATTTAAAAGAGCTTAACAGAATTTCAGCACCATTAAGGAAATCTTCAGTCACAGTCTGGTGCTCCAGTGGTGCAATCAGTTAGTGCACAGTACTAATGACTTAATATGCTGGAAAGCAGTTCTGAGTTCAAGCCTCATCTGGAGCAGGCAGCTTTAATCAATAGCAAATATGGTGAACAACAAAGAGCACATTCTAGAAAACCTAACGGTCCACCTATGGACATAATGGTACCATCCATTTCATTTCTTAAGCACTACAGGACACATACTCTACATTAAAAGGCTTTTTAAATCCTCATGGCCAGTCAATTTGAAGCAATAACTGGAATATATGTCTCTAACAAAAAAAACTGCATACCTGTTTTAAGAATACGAGCTTGGTCTTTGTAGGTGTGGACAGATTCACACGTGGCAAGCCTGAAGACTCAGAGAACTGTTGGTGCTTGTTTGAAATCGTATATCTTGCTCTATAGTGGTGTCATTGTAATGTATTTACTTTTATTTTAATTATCTGTGCATGTTCTCATTTTTGTGAATTTGTGATATTATTTATAGTGTGGCTAAAAACAGTGGTAGGGTTTACCTACTGACAGGAGACCATTATCAAAACTATGTTCCTATAGATGTTCAGTGTATGTAGATGAGTAATTGTTTGGAGTTGTTTCTTTCAAACTGAACGATTCTGGCTTTTTATAATCTCATCTCTTTGTTTTTCTATTCAGCTCAATTTATGCGTTAACTTACTTTGGCACAGTATATGTGTAACACTAAATTCAAGTTGACAATCATAATAAAACGGTTATTTCTAATTTACCATGTTAAGCTTTGGTAATAATTTTGAGCCATATAAGAGGTTTTATGTGACTTTTGACATGAGAAGATTTTTGTTTTTTTTGTTTGTTTGTTTTTTAGCTTTATAGCTTATTATTCTTCCAATTATTATTGATGTAATGTTATTTAATGACTATAAATATTAAAGGGACACTTGAGTAACGGTGACTCTTCAGCATTAAACATCACTTTTAATGTATATTTACCCAAACAAAAAGACACGTGCTGAGTTTTTTTTGGTTCACCATATAAAACTGCTATGGACAGCTAGAGTCAATGAGGACAATTAGGAGTGGCTTAAAAGGAGAGGAGCTAAAAAAAAAAATAGCTTATTTCAGATAGTGGATGATCTGAGGAGCTGTTAAAAAGTTAAAAAATGTGGATCTGGAAATGAGCAAAACAGCTGCCCAGTAAGTTTACCATTGCTAGAAATCCAAAGTTTCCAACTCTGAATTTTGGTATCCAGAATAAACATTTAGTTTTATTATTTGTTTAAACCTCACTCAAGCTTCAAATTGGAAACAGAAAGAAGTCCAGTAAACAATATTAGCTTACATACAAGGCTCACTGAGTCTAGTGAGGCAGTTTTACACTGGCTCATTTTCACGTCTTGTGTTAAGATTAGCAGAGGCATTAAAACTTGGCTTATATGTATGCGATCTCTATGTGCACTGCAGTGTGGTTCATAACGTTATGGGCTCACACCCACTGTTCTGTAACCGGCAACTTGTGGACCTGCAGATAACAGCAGCTGAGACAAAAAAAAATTATCATCCAAATTACACTAGTATTGACTCATTTTCTTTATTTTAATGTTGCTAACAGAAGCACTAAATTCTGTTTTAATAGTTGCTAAGGTTTAGAGAACATATTTAAAAGAATTCTACCATCAATGAACAGCTGCACCTTGAGCTCTACCCCACTAATGATATGGTAAATACGCAGTGTGACGCACATACGGTAGCAGATAGTGTGGTGGTGTGGAGCCCGCACCCTGCCCTGGCTGCGGTCTGATAACACAGAGGCAGAGAGACAACACATCTGCTGAGAGGTCAACCAGTACAAGCTGTTTTCTTCAGGCAGTAGGAACTATTACTTTTGCTCTTTCACTCGTCCTTCTTTTTTAGCATTTAGGTTAACAGGTTAATGCAGCGACAAAAAATGGTTGATTAGTTTCTTGTTTGTTTTTTTGGCTGTAAAGACCTAACACTTTGGATATTTGGCTACAGTGTTTCTGTGTATGATAGGCCACAATGTTGTCCAAGAAGGAAAAAGACTTAATTAAGGAAATATGGGAAAGACTGACTCCTGTGGCAGCAGAGATTGGAGCAGATGCACTCCTTAGGTAGGTTGAGACTTACCTGAGTAACCTTCATACTTTACTGCATTGTCTTTAAATGGTTTTGCATGAAGATTTAGGCTCCTACACACAAAGTAACATCTTCAGTAAGAGTGTGTGTTGTGATAAATAGATTCCTCTACCAATAAGCTTTCATTTCAGTTTGCAGATGTTAGTATTAGATTTTAGTATTGCTACGTGATTTCCTAGCCATTCCTAAAGTAAGTAGTTACTGCAAACAAATCCCACAAGAGAATGTAATGCTTATCTAGTGCTCACTGCTGGGTAATTCCTGAAGTCTCTAATAGGGATTTAAAGGTGTTGGCAATGATCCGAGATCATTTTAGAAACTTGTGGGCCTCGAGTTCACACAAATGATAATTGGTGACCAAAGACAGTCAACATGTAGCACTTACTCTGTTGCTCCTATCATATCAGCATGGAAATAATTTCACTTTTCCCTTCTTAAGGATGTTTGCTTCTTATCCGGGCACCAAGACATATTTTTCCCATCTAGACATCAGTCCTAACTCCTCCCACCTGCTTTCTCACGGGAAGAAGATAGTCCTGGCTATAGCTGAGGGGGCCCAAGACATCAGTCAGCTAACTGTCACCCTGGCTCCCCTGCAGACTCTGCACGCCTACCAGCTTCGGGTAGACCCCACAAACTTTAAGGTGCCCAAACACCTCAGACCTATTTACAGCCCTTCCATCCCCTTCTTGCATAGGATTTTTTTTAAATTTACTTTTAATCTTTTAATCAGAGATAATCAGTTTTTTGTTATTCAGATTTCCCTATTAATTATATCTACTAATCCAGTAAAGCCTGAACCACGAAATAATTGCCAGAAACTCATGTATCAAATATGATGCACTTGCTATTACAGGGTTAATATATATACTTGTGCAATTTCTTTGTTGTATGCTATAAGGCGTACAGGTGACTGCAATGTATGAAATTGTATTTATTTGTGCATTTTAATTCTGCATGCAAAAGATAATCCTATTAGTATGTAGGGATTTTTTCAGTAATTCTATAATAGAGTTTAACTGAACTAAAAAGAAAACAACAGATTTACTAACTGTAAGTCTGCTGCTGTTTTGTTTTTCCAGCCTGTTCAGATGACACATCAAATCAACTAGTTTGTTTTATGAAGGAGAAAAAAATGGAAAAAATGGGGGGTTTTTTTATCTATTGACAGCACTAATTAAAATAAATAATACATTTGATTAAATGGGTTCCTCCAGGAATATTGAAATGGGGTGCAAAAAGGCAGTATGTGAACCTTATAAAAAATTATAAGTGAACAAAATGATAATGTGTATATTAAGTATATTAAGTATAAGGTATTATATTATACATATATGACAATTGTGGGTGTTTGGGGAATTAAAAGCTGTGAAACTAGCCATTGTGAGGCGAGAGGGTGAGGAGGAGACGATATTTTTAATGCATTGTTTGGCACTTAAAATGATCAGACATGCTTTCTGTGCAAATTACACAATACTACATCACTATATTAACAATAACACACTGAGGACGACAAATGGCAGTGTGTGGGTTCATGATTTTCAGAAAACTGACACATACTATAAATTATGTAAGTATGTTGTTCACTTTTTAACAATCTTTTGTGTTTCTCCTGCAGCTGCTGTCGCACAGTATGCTCGTCAGCCTTGCCTGTTACTTGGGGGATGAATTCACACCAGTGGCTCACGCCGCCATGGACAAGTACCTGTCAGCGTTTGCTGCTGTTCTTGCTGAGAAATACAGATGAGACTCAAGCACTGGGTTTCCAGAAAGCATATGAGGCATTTATGATGCTATGTAAAATCTTTTTGTTTTTCTCTCTATGTGTCACTGTCATTACTTTGTTACATTTTTTAATGGTCAAAAATGTGCAATTCGTGTGTTAGTTTTTGTGCTGTTATATTATCAAATAAAAACAAATCGAATCTGTGGTTTTCCACGCATTATCATATCACGTTCAAAATGCATTGTGTTGATCATTTTCAAGGAATTCATCATTTGACTGAGTTAAGTTTTTGTAGTTGCTCACTGTCATGTCAGCTGATAATTTACATGATTTTACTTAAGCAAGCTTTCCTACTGTAAAATATTTTTATAATAAATAATACATTTACAACTACAAAGGCACATTTGATATTAAATCTAATCTGTTTTTGTTTTATTGTTTTATTTTTCTAGTATTACAGAAACAAAGGATTCAGGTTTTAACACCAGTGAATTGGGAGGACTGACTCTCCAGGTTTATCTATGGACCTCAAATATAAAGTATTTACGGTACACATAGCAACAGTGCCCCCATTTGGTAAACTGGTGGTAATACAGATGCATACTGCTGCGATAGTCAAAGCAGCTCATAGACAAGATGTTAAATGTCAATTTTTTAGTTATTTAAGTGAAATATCTTCTGTAATTTACAGACATCTTTGTTGTGAGGTTGATCACACAAAAATTAACTTTTTTTTCAGGATTGGATTGTGATGCTTTTAAGCCGAAACGTGCTAATACTCTTTTTTACTTAATGGGAGTGTAAATGTTTTTAATATCATGACAGCAGAATGAACTGCATTAATTTCTTCATCCTTGCTTTTACCTTTGCTGGGTTTTTTGTTGGGTTTTTTTTTAACATTTTGAGTTGATTGTAGCAGTCATCTCATGTGAAGAGCATGAGAGATAATTTATGCCTTCTGTTTGTATCTGCGCACAGTTACGCAAGGTTGCAATTTTACAATCTACATTTTACAGGCTACATAATCCAAATAATACCAAATTACTCATAATTTAGGAGCTGTACTACGATTAAGTTGAAATCCTCAGACTTCTTTCCCAGTAAAGTAAAAATGCACAGGTTCGATAGTTTCTGTGAACCCTAAACTTGCAGAGACTGGTGTTCTCACCTTTGGTTCTTATCTGTAGCTTCGCGTACGTGAAAATCCATGAGTCAGACGAGGTTGAAATATTTTTAATGAGAGGGAAAAAAGACAAAACATCAGAGACACAGATGACATTTTTATACACCTGACATCTGTGAGAACCGTGCCATGTTGGTCCGAAGTAAGAGTTTGCTTGAAGCAATCTTAGCATTAAAATGACTGGGAGACTGTGCAATATGTAAGGAAGCAGTTACAGTTAGAGCACATGCTGAAGACTAGGTGGGGTGTGGGTGTAGATGAGATTGGTAGAGGAAGGGCAGGTGATTGGGGGGATTTGAGAAGATGAGAGTTGGAGATAGGGAGGGTGTTCAAACGTTGAGCAATCAGCAGTCTCCTCCACCTTTCGGCTGCTGTATTGAAATGTAGTACTGTGGGACACCCTAAAACATACATTTTTCTTCATAACTCACTAATAAATAATAAATTTTCTATAATTTTAATAATAATAATATTACAGTAATATTACATTTAATGTAAGATGTTAGAATATCTAATTTTTTAACAATTTTTTAATTTTTATATAGTTAAAAACCAGGTGTAGATGTCAGGTACGCAGTGGGGGGAATAATTATTTGATCCTGAGGTAAATTTGTACGTTTGTAATTTGCAAGTTTACTGTACAGTGACTGTACAGAATATCAAACAAACATCTAGAAAAACACATGAGACAAACATTGTAAATTCATTTTCAGGTCACTGAGGGAAATGATTATTTGATCCCCTACAGTCCAGCCAGAATTCTGTTTGTGCTCATTTCTTTGGAAGTGAGAAAAATACAAATTCACCAGAGAATAAAACAATTATTTCCTCATCTGTACCATCAGACTTCTGTTCAAACGTCATGAAATGTGACCTCCTTGCAAGTAAAAGTGACTCTAGGTAATTTTGAAGAGTCTAATTCAATCTTTACCAAATATTCTTTAGTATCATAGACATGTTCACAATTTCTCTTAAGAATATTGTTTGAATACATGAATTAGATACTTTTTAAAAACCCAAATAGCCTGTGTTTAATAAGGAGCTGTGATTTAGCTCTTCAATACACCATTTTTCAATGTCATTTGGTGAAAAATATTTCTTTATTGACAGAAAAGTTTATTCTCATGGAAAGATAAGGTCCTTTTGTTGGGCCTGATTTTACAGCCATGACTCCAGATGTACATTTACAAAAGTTACTAAAGTGGAAGAAAATAAAAACTGTAACGTCCAACTGTAACTGTGATTAGTTGGTTTGAACCATGTGTCCACCAAAAGCCTTGGGCGCCCACAACCACGTGGACACTTCACCGGTGATCTCTCTCTGGGCATTTGTTCTCGGTAGGTTATGAAGATATTCTTCGATCGCTATGTGTTTGTAGTACTTTGTAGTTTGTAGTACTTGTACTTGTACTAGTACATGTACTTTTTCAGGGTTGAATTAGCATGTTTAATGTGTAATGTATTTTCTGAAATTATACGTTTTTGTTTTCCATTATTTCATCAAATGTGAAAAGCACAAATATCTACTTCTATCTTGTTGATAATGTTTAAAAACATTCATATTAAACATGAAGCTGCTGTGAGGACGTTGAACACGGCGCTGTCTCTGGTGCTGAAATTAGTTTGATTCCACTGCACTTAGCTATAATTTTGTATTTTCTAATTAGTTGTTTTTGTATTCAATGTCCTTTTTTCATTCATTTTTTTAAGTGTAGTGTAGGTTTTTTTCTGTTAATTCAGATTTTTGTTTGTTTGTGTTTTTTTCCACACCTCATTTTAGTTTGTAGCTTAGCTTCAGTTAACTACATTAACTCTTCTGTAAATAAACACAAATATCTTTATGCCCAGTTTGTGGTTTATAGATAGCTCTATTGTAAAGATGTGTAGAGGTGAAGGGCTAATTGATCAAGTAGTGGGGCGGTCACGTGCCCGCCCAAGTCCATGGGTTCACTGTTGGGGCTATTCCGCCACATTTGATAGTTTGCGTTATTCAGCTATAACTAAATAAACTAATCAAATGACCGAGTGACGTAAAGTCATCCGCATGACCATTTTTATCACTGCCAATTCTATCACAGCACCCTGCTGCTTTTCTGTTTCTTTCCCCGTAGGATTGTCTCCCACTTTCTCTATATATATATCTTTAATGTCATCTCTCTCCCTTACCTATCCTCTTGTGAATTATGAATTCTGCTGCTTTTCACAGGGTCAATGTCAGAGTTACAGATATATGGGACAGCTCAGGAACAGCACTGTATCACAAAGTCTTCCACCGTGAAAACCTGAAATCAGTGTTGCAGCTGACCTGTTCCGCTGTGGAGAAGAACAGCTATTGAATGTCTTAGATTTAAGACATTAATCTTAGACACTTCCACTCTTTGAGTCCCGTCAAAACTTTCAGTTTTGTTTGTTACAGATTAGAGGGAGGAAGGAAACAATAGTCTAACGCAAAACTTACCGCTGTGGGGAAGGGGGGGAGGGGGGGGCACGTGTCATTTCGGTTGTAAGATATGCGATAGTTGGCGTGTGTTCATTGATTGGAAGCGAGTGCGTAATTGTGACTGGTGGGTGGCCCAAAGCTGTGAGCGGAGTGCTAAATCTTTGGCTCTGTCCTCTAACTCTTCGCTTGGTCCTTCCTGCTGCAATGGGCAGACAGAGATTTTAATGTTGTATTAATGTATTTTCTATCATTAAAAAGGGGTCGGTGTCAATGTGACTGTGTTAGTGCGCAATCTGCAGAAAAAATAAAAAACATGGGCAGAGTGAGCATTTACGCATGAGACACATTGGCTATGTCTTCATTGCTAAATAGAGGGGTCGGGATCTGACGGTAAATGATGTTTGGTGTTCTTCTTGATATAGCACAGGTCAGCTATACACACGGATGTCAGGTTTATGATGGAATAGTTTATAATAGTGTAGCTCTCCTCTGGATAAATCTCGCGCTCCACCTTAGTCTTGTTCCCCTGGAACACACTCATTCGCGGTGCTTTCTAACAAAATACTTCAACCTTACAGAAAACCATGCTGGTTCTTCTTCAGCCTCCTCTCATTTATCTTAACAGAAGAGACAAATACCTGCAAATCTTTCATTTGCACTCCCTCGTATGGTGAGGGAGCAACTAATCTGCGCTGGAGTTTGGCAGGCAATTATGGATTACTGATTCCATCTTTGCAATTAAATTAGCCCAATATTATATAACCCAAAGAGCGTTCCACTCATCATTCTGACAGCTCTGATAGCTATAGTTCAATTAAACTATTGACCTAACTAACTAACTGCAGTAAAATAGTGTCACTCCGATGCCCTCAAGCAGCACCACACCTTTACCTATAGCTTCAAAGATTATGAATTAATAATTGTGGGAAAAGGTAGACAGTTGATACTAATTTCAGTGCTTTCATTTTTCTCTCTTTTCTAAATATAATACATTTATTGCGCTAAATACATTTGCCAACCGGTTAAAGAAGTCCCCAAATGACCTCACCAACGTAGACTTTTGTCACTGCACACTTCTTAATGCCATTCAAACCCAGTCTCACAGACTTGACAGTGTGACGGGGATCTATCAAAATCAATGCCCCTTTTAATAAACCATTTACGTACCTTCTCCTACTGTGACATGTTAAAGTGTCTCCTGTGGAAAAGGAAGTACTAAAAGAGATGTTGCTGCTGCTGAAACCGATACCTTTCTTTCTCCAAACAACCAGTTTGTGTCCTGTATAAAATGTAGCTCCAACACTGAGTCATCTTTTATTTTGTGCCAGAAAACAACAATAATGACTTTCTTATTGGTCGTGTTACAAAAATACATACATGAACATTTTCCAAGTTTCTGTTTTTAAGTATTAAAAGATTCTTGACATTCATTGCCAAGTCCAATTGTTGTTACTAAATATGCCTTTTTAAAAACTATGTCATGTCCTTAAACAGCTGGCCACTATGGGTTTGTTTGTTTGTTTATTTTTGTTTTTTAGCCATACAAAAATCAAGGACTAAAATCAACCCACTGAAAAAAATTGTAGTTAAAATTGATCATTTACAGCGCTGAAGCCTGAGGTTTCAGCTCATAGAGATTGCCTGCATAGATATACTGGCCTCACTTTATTAAAGGTTTAATATACACTTTTACCACGAGAGGGGAACATTCACTGGCCACTTTATTAGCTACACTTTGCTAGCATCAGGTTGGACTCTGTTTTTGCCT